CTTTTCGCATATATACTTATGGGTGCTTGCGAGATCTAGTTGCCATCCTCGCACAAGAACAGGATGGGTGTGAAAGAGTGATCACCTATACGAGCCACAGCTTACCACCCAACAAGCATAACTTCCAAAATTGTAGCTCTTTTAAACTGGAATTATTGGCTTTGGTATAAGCTATCACATAAACGTTTGCAGAGTACCTCACTGCAGCAGAGATTGAAGTCTATGATAATACTGTGCTTGCATACTTGGAGACAGCCAAATTGGGGGCACTAAAGCAAAGATGTGCACCTGACTGGTTGATTCAATTATAAAATACATTACAAACCAAGGAAAATTAGCGGATACGCAGACTCTCTCCTGCTACCCAGTGGAAAGCCCGGGTGATGACGTGGATCTGAATCAAGAGGATCTATAGGTAGCACCGCTGTTTCCTCCAGCTTCCTCCTTGTGCTTTGTGCAGGAGCAACAAACACCCAGAGAGGGGCTGCTGAGATCCACATGCTTGATGAGTGGGCCCTGCTTCAGCAAAAGGATCCTGAACTTGTCCAGGTGCAACTCTTCCTATCTCGGTGTCATAAACCATCTTCCTGGGAGTGTCAAAAACTGCCAAACACAGTCAGAGCCCTGGTGAGAGAGTGGGAATGGCTATAATTTCCGAGGTGACATGATGTATCGGTAGGCTCGCATTCCCACCGAACAATGAGACATTCTACAAATTGTGGTTCCTCAGTCATGCATCCTACAGGTCTGGAATTTGACACAGTACATGGCACGAGTGGGCATTTTGAGGCAGATCGCATGGAAGCTCTGGTCATGAGATACGTCTATTGTCCACAGCTGGCAGAATGAGTCAATGTATTTGTTAGGAGTGTGACATGTGCACCTTGCATAAAACCACCCAAGAACAGACTACCCTGCTAACCATCACCACCTTGGAACCCTTTGAGCTGGTGACAATGGACTTGTTGACAGTCTCCAGCTCCTCATCTGGGTTTAACTATGTGTTCATTTTTGTGGATCACTTTTCAGATTTCACTGTGTTGGTGCCCACCAAAGACTAAACAGCGTTAACAACCACCAAACTGTTATTGGAACACATGGTCCAACCTTATGGGTGCTCCAAATGCATCTTGTCAGATCAAAGACCAAACTTTTAGTAACAGATACTATCTGAGTTGTGTTTCACTTGGGCAGTTGCACACCACCCCATACTACTCTCAGGGTAATGGAGTTTGTGAGTGCTTCAACCATTTGCTGTTGGGGATGTCACGAACTGTGGATCGAGGCCACCAGGACCATTGGCACCAGCACATAGGGGCTCTTGTATGGGACTAAAACAACACCAGGTGCCGTTCTTCTTGATGTTCGGATGCTTTGGCAGACTGCTAATGGACCTTTTGTTGGACTCCCCAGAGTGTACCACTTCCCGAACATGCAGTGAGTGGGTGCAAAAACAGTGTGGCAGGTTATGGAAAGCTAGGCAAATAGTACTGGGCAGACAAAAGGACCTGGCAGAAGATGCTGGCTTAGATATGTTGCCATTGCGACCAGGGGACCAGGTGCTGGTAAAAAATCCAAAATTTGAAAGAGGCAGCAAGCTGGAGCCTAAGTGGGAGCGGACCCCTTACTGGGTGGAGAAACAACCATTTTCACCAACCCTTGTGCATGATGTGATCTCAGAAAGCCTTGAGACAGTCAAGAATCAGCTCCACAGCAACCTCCTGAGACCCTGTGTTCTGAGTAGGGATTGTTCCACCAAACCTGTCAACAAGTGTAGGGACAGCAGCCAAATGATGTCCCCCCGGTCCAGGAAGTTCCCTTCGAGTGGTATCTACCTCCCATTGAGTCCAGGCCTCAGGACCCAGCCAGTCCGAATGGAGAAAGTTCCATTGATTCACTTGCCTACAGTACAAAGGTGTTGAGTCTAGATGCAAAAAGTCCTGCTGAATCCCTGGACTCCTCTATGGATGCAGCAATCAGCTCAGGTGAAGGGGGTATGGCTTGCCACGATGACCCCCCCAAACACCTAAGGCCACTGAACAATGTGCAGAAGATGACAGTTTTGATGTTGACCTTGCAGAAGACAGTGAGGTCTGCTGCCTAATTTGGTCTAACCGTGGATTTTTTTCTGCAGTTGTACAGTATGTTGATTCCTTATTGTATTTTGATGCTGAGGACAGCATCTGACAAAGGGGGGGAGGGGGCATGCAGGCAGGTGCAGTCTATACTCCCTTCTTTAGGTGAAGCTATGGTTAGCAGTGATGCAAAAGGGGAAGGAAGGTGTGAAGAACTTCCTGCCATCATCAGGGTAACAGCTGTCTCATTGGACATTGGTGCCCTGTTTGACTCCAGCAGCCATCTTTAGTGAGGGCAGTGCTTATTTAAGCAACTGGCTCCCTGGGTTGGCACACATTTTGCAAGTGGTTAGTGTAGTTACAGGTTCTCCATCTGTCAGGGAAAGTGTTGAGATTTAGGAAGCCTCCCATTTGGCTGTGGATCAGCTAGGCCGCATCCTGATGTCAGACCCCTGCTACAGTTTTGTAAGTGGCTCCGGACGGCTGTGCCTACCCATCGGACCTGGTTGTACCTTGTTAAAACTTTTTGTAATACACTGTTCTCGCTCGCCAATACACCACTCTGCACCCTGCTTACAAGCTGACCTATACAGCAATTGCCAAAGTTCATATGGGGGAGTACCATTGGGGAAAGATAGGGGCCACCCTATAAACATAGGCTAAGACTACCCTGACTGGACAAACAGACTAGACAGTGAAGGCCTTCAAATGTGGGCCTTAATCCTGCTGAAACAACTTAAATTTGAGCCAAGGGTGGTAGTGCAAGCACCACCCAGTTATACAAAAGTTGACTTAAAAATAAACTGAGCCAGGTGATGAATTACTGGCCAAACGGTGACCGCATCCATACAGATGCAGTTGCTGTTTGGCAGTGCCAGCATCTTTTGAAGCTGAGTCTGCCTGACAATAATGGAGATTTCTCCATCACACCATTAGCATGGAAGCGGATTTGATCGATTTTTTTCTTTCTCTCTTGCAGACCGAACTGCTTGAATGTAAACTGTCTATGTCTGCCTTTAATTCCCATATAGACTAGACATAGATTGGCTGATATGTCCCTGAGAATGATTTTAGAAATGTCCAGGTTGTACTGCTTTTAAAGCGGTAGTAAACCGCCCCCCTCCCCCCCCCCCCAAAAAAAATGTCCCCTGCAAAATAATGTCATAATGTGCAAGTATGCATTGCATATTAGCACATTGTGAAAGACTTACCTTAGAAAGAAGCCCTTTAGTGGCGCTCTGTCACCGTTGACAGGGCTTCCATCTTCACCTAGTCTTCCTTCCGGGTTTGTGGGAACTGGCAGCTCGATTGGCCAAGCTGCGATGACGTCACTCTCCTACATACGTGGGAGTTTCGGCTGCAGCACAGAGCTCTGAAGGAATGGCACAGGCATACTGTTCCTTCAGAGTGCATGTGCCGGTGACATCATCGGCTGCAGGGACACTGAATATCTCCTAAACGGTGCATGTACCTTCCTTGTACCTACAGGTAGGCTTTATTATAAGCTTACCTGTAGGTACAAGTGTCCAGTGGAATTTTACTTCCATTTCAAAGAGAACCTTTTCTGGGAGAATTACAAAGATTGCTACTCTTGACCTTTTTTAAAATAGTAGTTACCTGGCTAAAATAGTAGTTAGTAGTTGCCTGGCTGTCAAGCTGATCCTTTGGTTTTAATACTTTTTGTATCAATTCAACATTCATTCTGAAGCACATGTAAAGTCAATGTACCTAGCATGCATATTAGTTCTGAACTAGTGACTGACCAATTACAGCCAGGCAAAAAAGCATTTTCAAAAGCAGAGCTGAACAAACGCAGCTGATATATTTGGCTCAGTGCAGGCTTCCTTCTGTGGGCTGGGAATGTAGGCTTTCCTGTTGGGAAATTAGTTTATAAGTGCTAGTTTCAACATGGTCCCTTTGGATTTTAACCTCCTTAGCGGTAATTCAGAGTGTGGCTCGGGGTTAATTCTCGGTACCAAAAGCGGTAACCCCGAGCCACACTCGGAATTACACTGTATTGTGTGTGTGTAGTGTAACTTACCTTGTCTCTGCGATCCCCCGATGGCCTCCCACTGTGTCCTCCGGCCAATGTCGGCATCCATCTTCCGGGTACCCTTCCCTGCAAGCGCTGTGACGCAGGGGGGGCGGAACCGGTGGGAGATTAAAAAAAGGAAAAAATATGACATACACACAATACATTGTAATCTGTTAGGATTACATTACTGTATCAAACCATTTAACCTAAGTTTTGTCCCTAGTGCTTTGTCCAGCGCCCTGCCTGCACTTTTACCGTTCTTTCTGCCTGGAAACTTGAGAAAGTCCATTGCATCCAAAAAACATCCCTTTAGGTCAAAAGCGGTTTTAGACCAGCTAGAAAACAGTGAGAGTGAATTAGAAACACTTGCAGAATTGAGCGATAGTGATTCGTGGGGAAATTTGTCATCAGACACTGAATTTCCATGAAAAACAATGTACTGCTTTGATATTAAAAAATATTGACATAATCAGACCACCAGGGAGGTTAATATTGATTGGCTTAGCACCTTTTGCAAGTCAAACAACACCACAAAATGATTGTCCGACAATCTAGGAGCTTTTTAAGCAGCCAACAAAACCTGCTTACTATAAAGGTTTGGGAACATCGTATTCTAGCTGTAGTTTTTTTAGTACAATGTGGTACTGAATGAACATTTGTAATCTGTTGTTTTGATTCAGGCTACCTTATTAATTACAAGTCTTTACCAAAATTTTAATAATGCATTATATTTGTAAATAATTGCAAAGACAAAAGCATCCATACTTAATGTTTATTGCTGAAGAATTAATGGCATAAAACAACATATTTTTATAACATTGATGCTCTTCTGTGTTACAGGCTGATGGTCGTTGCCCACGGGATTCATTACAGTAACTACCGAATCACATCTATTTCCCCTTCTTACGTAGCTGTTCCTCGAAGAAGTCGTTGCAGGCAACAGTCAGAGCTGCCACCAGCACCACAAATTCATTGAAGTCAACTTCATTATCTTTATTGGAGTCCAGATCATTCATGATCTTGTCAACCAGCTGGGGATCCTTTTGGCACTGGAAAGTGAAATGGAGGATTAAAATGGCAAAATGGTTTGTGTGCAATCTGGTTGTAGAAAGTTTAGTTTGAATGTAAGAGTGTAATGACCACAAACATTCAATTATGTGCTGGAGTATTTAAAATTTAGAATATTGCCTAGCTTAACACTTAAGTAAATAAGGCCAATAGTGTGATGATAATGGGAACTTTAGATTAGCTCCATTAGTCATATTTTGCCAGTGTGAGCATTCAAGTGAAAGACTGATTTTCCTCCGAAAGGTTGGCTATCCAAAAACTATCAGCATTTAGCAAATATACTTGGAATTCAATAATGACTTACAGAGGCATAAGTGACGGTATATCTGAGAAATGGATTCTTTTAACTTCTTATTAAACTGGTAGAAATAAAATCAGTATCGAGCCGCACTCCATCTATCCATATTGAAAACAAGAGGACAGAAACACTCATCTTCTTCCAAGAGGAGTATTTCTGTTAACTTGTTTTCAAGAAAGTTGTGGAAGCATTACAGACTGGCACAAATCTGTGCATTCAAAAAGCACAATCCATGACACCACCAATATCTAGTCTTAGCTAACCCCTTACCCTCCCTACAAGGTATTGTTCCTTTCCTTAGTGCCTCATATGAAAGCAGTTAAAATGCCACTCCAGCTCCTGTTTTAGAATGCTGATCCCATTGTGAATCCCCGCCTTACGGATGTTTTTTTTTTTTTTCGACTATGGGCACTGGGGAATCACTTCAGCAATACACACCCTGTATGACTCTATATTTCGGTACTAGGCTGCTACGTCGAAATACAAATAAACCATAAACAAAAGATAAATTAAAACACTTCTAAATACAGAACTAAAGCAAAGTCAAATGAAGTTATGTAATCCTATATAATCTGTTCCCCTTGCTGTGTTTGCTTTCTATGTCAAATTTAAAATAAAGTGTTTTCAAAAGCCAATTAATTTGTAAGCCTCAATCAATTCATGTCAATGGTTAGTATTGAACGAGCAGCTAGTGTGAATGACTCATAAATATTATGTCGGAAGAAAAAACATGAGCCATGCACAGCGAGTAATGGAAAGTTCTATTTCAAAATTGATAGCTGTGCTTTGGTTTAGTTAAATGGAACCAGAGTGTTGGAAGGAGGGAACAGTGGATTTTTTAGTTAGCTTACTGCCCTCTGGGCTACTGTGATTCAGTGAGGTCACTTGACCATCAATGAGGTCAGAGTCTCAACCACCTAGGAATTACTGCTGCATGGAAATATAATTGACAGCTTGGTTTCCCAAGAGGCTCTGACGCAGCTTACATATACAAGTGATAAAAATGTCTAAGTCAATATAATTTTTTACCGCTTTCTATATATACAGACTTGTAGAAAACTTAAAAAAGTACTTAATACCAAAATAAACCCATTCCTCTTTTATACCCATACAAGCGTTTTTAACAAGGCAACACGCCATGTACCAAGTGCTGTAACCAATAGTATTGAATTTGAAATCCATTTTTTCTTTTTTCTGATCTCAGTAAATTGCAATCTAATTGATTTGTTATGGGTTATTTGTTATTGCACTTCACCATTGTTCTTGGTACTGTCTGACAGCATTGTTCATATATGTCATTATAGAAGACAAGTTATAAATGAGATTGATCTCTGTAAAACATGTTAATGGAGTGGAAGCAGTTAATGTTCTATTCTTTCAAGTCGTGAAATAAATTTGAATGTGGTGTCAGCGTCTTGTGAAATGACAGCAGTGCAAATGAAAACAAACTGTGCTATGCAAAACCTGTCTTGTTAGGATTAACCACCAAGGGCAGCCTATAGCACGTACAATCACTGAAACCTTTATTGTGGTGTACTATAAAACCTGTAATTTAACAGTGGTGGCTAACTGCCCTGATTTGTTTTATTCCAATGTAAAATATATACAATGACACGGACAAAAAACCATTTCAAATCAAATACATATAACAATCTAAAGCAATGGATTTCCAATTGTTACTGAACTGTGAATCCTGGCATTTTGCCTATGTGGAGTTTTTTGGCAGCTTCTATATTTCATCCCAATATGGAGAGAATAATAAATAACTCGTTTTTAAGAATATTAAGTAACTTCCAGAGCCCAGGTTATGAATACACTTTACAAAATGATTTATATTTTTTGCTATCAATTTGGCTAAAAGTTTTTTTTTTATCTAAATGGGTTTTGCAATTGACCAAACATTGCCTTATTTGGCCAGAAAAACATTTTAAATTTTTTGTAAATACATTGATGAACAAAATGGCAATGTAATGCAGTTTTTCATCTATCAGTGAAGATCTGATGTCCAGCAAACTCTGCCTTTTTTCCTTAAAGCTGTCAAGGTCAGTTGGTTAAATTTTGTTAACCATCATTTTATCTATCTCTATTACCTTTCCCTTTCAGTCAAAGAATGATTCAGTAAATTCTAAAACAGTGGTCAGCAAAAATTTCTTACTTCTATACTTTCTATACTTCTTCTCCAGCATTTGTGCGTGCCTCATACTTACAGCAAGGAAGTCTGTCAGTTCGCTCTGCAAGAGCTGCTTCAGTTCCCCTTTGTTCAGCTTGTACTTGTCGCCCTCTTTGCCAGAGTAATGGTGAAAGATTCGGATCATGGTATCCATGGCACCTTCCAATTGGGTAGGCATTTTTGCAATAGCTGTCTAAAAGGGCATAATGAAAAATAATAATGTAAGATATTCTTTTTCTTGACCACTAGGGCATAAATATGAACATTTTTCCAAACATTAAAGAATTAAAAAGATAATACTAGTGTCAAAGCAATAACTCTAAAATAAATAAAAGCACATTTCTCCAATAGGCTACAACACAGTTGCTTCAGCAAGGGAGTGGGCAAGTAAATTTAAGTCTGGAGGTGCCAATGTGAAGAATTCAAGTATAAAACAGCTTCATACCTGTGTGTTCACAAGCAAACGGAGCCAGGTAAATTATAAAGACAGCTTAGCAGCTGGGTTATTTATACATAATACCCCAGGATAGCACATGTATTCCCAAAATGCAAAATCTGCTTCGGCACCAATGAAGGCAGGTGAGCATCCTGCGTCATCCATAGCGACAGGTGGATTGGCTGCTGGCTTTCATTTTCCATGCTTCAAATGTCTCAGTTTTGTGTAACCTCATACTATAGCATACCTGTGGCTGCCTATAGCACCTAGGTAGGAGGAGCCCCGCCACCTCTACACATCTGTTCATTAAAGCAGATAGGAAATGAAGGCAATTAGTTCCTAAGATGCTAGGGCAGAGGAAAATATCCAAAAATAAACCTCAGGAAGAAGGGAATATTTTGCTGCTATCTAAATGACAGCGTTTCCCTCTAGGGTGGAGATACACATTGCAGGTAAATGCTAAATTTGAATAACTGTAACAATAGCTGCAGAAATAAGGATAACATTTTAATTTATCTTTGGCTGAAAATGCAACAAAAATAACAAGCCAGTCTCTGTTTTGCAACTGTTATTAAGCTAAAATAATGTGTGCCTTCTGTGACAGGAATTTTAATTTTGGTGTATGAAAGAAATACAGAATACAATATTATTAAAGTAATTTGTAAGGCTGGGTTCATATTGTTCCAATATTGTAATGCATGAAAACATACATTATGTGTATTGAGGCACTGCAGTGCACAGTAATGCACTACCGCACTTTATGGTGCACTGAATTGCAAAGAGTTCTCATACACACTGGACATTTTTACAGCGGCTGTTTTTTGGCTTTTGACGTTTTTTTTCTACAGCTAGTAAACCCCCCAGCATTTTATCCTATGTGTTCATGCACACATAGACTGTAATCAACATTTTCTGGCTGGAAAAAAAACCAGGACTAGTGGGTTTCCAAAGGAGTTTCTTTAGCTGTAAAAACACTCTAATGCTGAAAAACACGGTAAAACTCCACTTTAAGGAGTGCTCCCCCTCTCCCCATTAAGGATTGGCACCTTTGGGGGGCGGGGGGGGAAGCGGGTACCCGAATTTGACAGATACCTGCTCCCACTTCCGGTCGATCACCTAGGCGATCGGAAACGGAAGGTGCCCTACCTCCCTGTAGTCTTTTCAGACACGAGACAGGTCCCAGAAGACTACAGGACCATTCATGAAGCAGCAAGATGCACAGCCGGGTGCCCACACTGAAGATACCGGCCTCCTGGAATACAGGACAGCCGGTGAAACGGGGTGCGGGACACACCGCAGAACCGAGGGACAGGTAAGTGGCTGTTTTTTTAAAAGTCAGCAGCTACAGTTTTTGCAGCTGCTGACTTTTATTTTTTGACAGGTGAGGGGAACTCCGATTTAATTTGACTTAGTAGAAGCCTTTTGCAATCTCCTCTACAGCAGCACTCAGACTTGCTGAGGGAGGAGCAGGACTGGGAGTCAGGTTTGCTGCATCCAAATGTTCTGATATGGAACATGCTGATAATAGAAAAAAACAGGGATACTGGTGTACCTTGGTTTACAAACGCCTCGGTTGATGTAATTTTTGGTTTATGAATGAAAATCCATTGAAAATAATGCCTCGGTGTATGATTTTTTTTTCGCAATACGAACGGATTAATTGGTTTTCAATGCATTTACGATTTTTTTTAATCATGTCCTTGTATAGTACTATGCCTTTAAAGTGCACTTTATAAAGAGTTTTGAACAGATAAGACTCTTTTTAATTTTTCTGACCTCCGGAACAGATTAATCAGTTTTCAATGCATTCCTATGGGAAACCGTGTTTCGGTTTAAGAATTTTTCGCAATACAAAAAGTCCTGGAGAACGCATTAAATTCGTAAACCAAGGTACACCTATAATGGAGTGGGCATAGGGATGACTTAATCAATTTGCTGTTTTTGTCACCATCCAGTAAGGAAACTGGGCATGAAGATAGGACACTGCTCTGTTCACCTTTTGCACAAAAATTATAAATGCACATTTTTTTGTAGCTAAAGCTAAAGGAGTCTGGAAAGCATTGCATCAATGATCAGTAGATCGCTCATGCCATGCAGGTCTCCTGCAGACCTGTCAGAATATCTGCTTGCCATACGGGAAGTACGAGGAAGCAGATATTCTGTCAGGAAGCTTCACAGCGCCATGGAGGTTCATTGAAACTACAAGCCCACAGCCGCGAAGGCTGCCGGGCCATGTAGGAACTCATTCACAGACCTCTGTAAATGAGTGACGCGAACGTGTGGGCGGAGACCCGCACAGCCACGCCGTTTTCAAATCTGACAGATAGGAAACTCCTCCCTGCACTATCTGTAGGGGGGGGGGGGGCGGTGGGCGCACCTGCAGCTATGGGAACATGTTACATGTTCCACCCTAAAAACGGGTGAAACCTAACATGTTCCCAAAGGTGAACTTATCCTTTAACTGTAGGTGGTGTCAGACACCCACCTGGCTTTGCTGTGAAAAACTGAGGAATGGATGGGCAAAAATACAAATCCTTTGGTAGATAAAACCGAGTCCTTATATTTATTTCTTCTGTATACTCAGTGGTTTGCCTGAAATTTAGACTACATGTAGGGAGATTTTTTTTCAGGATTAATTATGTGTAGATATTACTATATCTCTTAACTAGTTGCCGACCGCAGATAGCCGAATGACGGCTGCACTGCGGCCGGCCAGTTCTGGGTGGACGTCATATGACGTCCTCCCAGAACGCGCTCTCCTGCGCGCCCCAGGGGGCGTGCACCCGGCGATCTCCGTGATCGCTGTGTCCTACGGATACAGCTGATCACGTGATGTGGTAAAAGGCCAATCACAGCGGCCTTTTACCACGTGATCAGCGGTGTCCAATGACACGCTGATCACAGGGAAATGCAAGTGCCGGTTCTCGGCTGCACTTTCCTCACGCTGTCAGATCGTGAGGAAAGTACTGCCGAGAACCGGCAGTTGTCAGAGCGAGGATCGGCACCGATCATCAGGGCACTGATGATCAATGCCCTGATGATCGGTGCCCAGCAGTGCCACCCGCAAGTTCCGCCCACCTGTGCCCAGCAGTGCGCCCACTAGCTCCGCCCACCTGTGCCCAGCAGATCACCCACCTGTGCCCAGCAGTGCACCCACCTGTGCCACTCTGCAGTGTCACACACCTGTGCCCAGAAGTGCCACCTACCTGTGCCCAGCAGTGCTACCCACCTGTACCCACCAGTGCCACCCACCTGTGCCCACCTTCCAGTGCTGCCCACCAGTGCCACCCACCAGTGCAGCCCAGCAGTGCTGCCAGTCAGTGCCAACAGTCAGTGCCCAGCGGTTGTGCCAGTCAGTGCCGCAAGTCAGTGCCCAGCAGTGATGCCAGTCAGTGCCCTCTATCAGTACCCATCATCAGTGTCACCTATCAGTGCCGCCTATCAGTGCTGCATATTAGTGCCGCCTATCCGTGACACCTCATTAGTGCTGTCTATCAGTGCCGCCTATCCGTGCCACCTCATTAGTACTGCCTATCAGTGCCCTTTAGTGCTGCCTATCAGTGCCCATCAGTGCCGCCTATCAGTGCCCATCAGTGCTGCCTCATCAACGCACATCAGTGAAGGAGAAAAATTACCTGTTTGAAAAATTTTATAATAGAAACAAAGAAACTTTTTTTTTTTTTTTCACATTTTTTGCACTTTTTTTATTTATAGCGCAAAAAGTAAAGCGCCCAGTGGCGATTAAATACCACCAAAAGAAAGCTCTATTTGTGAGAAAAAAATGATCAGAATTTCATATGGGTACAATGTTGCATGACCGCGCAATTGTCAATCAAAGTGCGGCAGCGCTGAAAGCTGAAAATTGGCCTGGTAAGGAAGGGGGTATAAGTGCCTGGTAGGCAAGTGGTTAAAGTGGAACTTTAGTCAGAAAATGATGTCCTGCTAGGTCACTTCAGGCTGGCCCCTTTTGCTGGTATAGCTATGTAACACATTTAAAATAAGTGCCTATACTGTTTAAAATCCAGTAATACACTCTATCACTCCGCTCTGCACATGTTCAGTTTCTCTCTATTTTTAGACAATGTGGTGAATTTATAGAGGCCGATCTGCAAGACAGCCTAAAGATTAAGCCCTCATGCACACGGGACGTTTTGATAACGCTGGTAACATTAGCTGTGTACAGTCACATTAAAAACGTGAGTTTTTCAGCTGTTTTTAGCATTTTTGCATTAGCATTCAACAGTGTTTTGCCATGTTTGCGGGTTTTTTGGTCAGAAAAGCGTCCAAAAATGCCAGTTTGCGGCGTTTTAAAAAACAAAAATAAAAAACCGCATTTTGCCGTGTTTTTCAGCATTTTTAAAGCTAAAAAACTCATCTAGAAACCCACTAGGCCTGGGTTTTTTTTCCAGCCAAAAACCATCCCTGCCAAAAAACGTTGATTATAGTCTATGTGTGCATGGACACATAGAATAACTTGCTGGGGGGTTTACTAGCTGTAGAGAAAAACGTGAAAAGCCAAAAACAGCCGCTGTAAAAATGTCAAGTGTGCATGAGGACTTAATGTTGCTCAGGGGCTCCAGGCTTCAACAAAATGGCCTCCAGCAAGAAGGAATGGGAACAATGCTGGCGTATATTTGGAGCACGCACTAATTTTGGTAGCATGATCATTAATGTGGAATGCATGTTTTTTGCTAAAGAACATTATTTTGAATTTCGCTTTAAGTCCAATTCACACACAAAAA